GAGGACGAACAGAAGAAGAAAGGAAAGAAGTCTGAAAATTTTCGAATTGAAAATGAATTGTTAGAGCAGACTTTATATAGGCAGATTGGTGGGTGTTCGAACAAGTAGGAAACTTGTTCGGATAGATTAAATAGGCACCAACAGATTTGAATCTGTTTGGAACAGATTCCATGTTGAATTCAACAGATCTAAACCTGTGTTGAACCCTTTGAACTGTTCGGGTGGGTTAAACTTGTTAGAGACCTGTTTGGGTGAAGAAAAAATTCTGGATCAATTTATTTTGAATTTTGAAACCAAAATTAAAAATAAAAAATAAAATATAAAAGTTTTTGGCCCAAAAAGATAAGTATTAGGCCGGACAAACCCAACTCAACCTCACACCACGCACTCGCGCCCAAGCCCAGGTCTAGTCCAGCCCGCCCGACCGGCTGGACAGACGAGCGGTTTTAATTTTGGATCCAATTGGTCTAGACTTCACCCATAATCTCACCCTTTCACAAACTTGGGTACTCCTTGGGGCCCATCCAAAGTATCCCAAGTTAAGGTATATAAAACCATTCAAAACCTCAAGTCTTTCCAATGTGGGACAAGCACATTTCACAAATATGTAGGAAACCCACCAAAAAACTAGTTCCACGAATCCAAAAACGCACGTTGAATTTTCATTTAGCCAGAAATGGTTTTGAGCAACCAAATATATGAATTTATTCACTACGCGGCATTTAACATGAATCCAATTAGAAACGTTAAAAATAAAGCTTGGGTCCCACCTTAATTAATGCTCAAAGTTAGTAAAAAATAAAGTTATACAAAAGTCATTTACCAACAATCCCCCTCATGTATGGAATTCACGATAACGGACATGCAACAAGATACATACAAAGAAAGAGTACATTAAGAAGATACACCACATCGAGATAGGTAGCTTTTGACTTTGAACCTCCTCTAGTGAAAGCCTATTGGACTTTCTGGCTAACCAGTGGACATGATGCCTTGAACTATTCAGCTGTTCATATAAGCCAAGACAATAGACTACACATAGTGTATTCGCTGACACAGTTTGGTTCTTGCAGTTGTGTTAAGAGTGTAATAATGGCCCAACCCGGCCCATTCGGGCTTTGTGGGCTCATGATTTTTTAGCGGGCCGGCCCATGGGTTAAAATGTGGGGCCCAGGCCCAAGCCTAAGCCCACTCATAATAGGGCCGGGCCGTGCCTAGGGCGTGGGCTCGGGCTTTGGCCCGTGGGCTGGGCTTAGTCGGACTTTTTTTTTTAATATTAGAAAAAAAAATTAAAAAGAAATTATACTAAAGTATTTTAATTACGATTAATGAGATATTTTGTTTGGTTATGTAATGTTTTATAGTGATATTTAAATTTAATTATATGTGACTTATGTTTTTTTAATTGTAAATTTATAACTAAAAAAGTATACAAATATGTAATTTTTTTTCTTTCGAAATGAATAATTTTATATATATGAAATTGAAACTTTCAATATTACAATATTAAATTATTTATATAACATTTATTGAATGAATAATTTTTATTTCAAAATAAAATAAAATATTACAAAAATTGATATTATTAAATAAATTATGTGTAGATTACTGATGATGATATAGCAATTGCATCACTATAAGTCAAGTACATCCCAATTAGGTTGGCACCTACTAGCCTACCAATCATTTGCATTATACTCCACCTCAATAATCTAATACAAAAAACAAAACAAAACAAAACAAAAACCAAGAAAAAAACGAAATGAAATGAAATAGTAAAAAATAAATTATTGATCAATCATCGGAGGAGACAGACATTTCAGTCGCGTTACCCAATGATATGTCATTTAAATCATATTGAATTCGCTCCTTTTCACTAAAATTTTGTCTTCTTGTAAGTGTGTGCATATGATCCCTGGATATCATCAATGCCTCAACCATTTCGGGTGAAAGCCTGCTCCTGTAGTCACTCAGCACCCGTCCACTTGCACTAAAAGTTGTTTCTGAAGCAACTGTAGAAATAGAAACGGTTAGTATATCACGTGTCATCTGTGAAAGCACAGGCCACATAGATTCATTTTGTTTCCACCATTCCAAAAATGTCAAAATTATCGGAATCATCTACTAACGGGCTTTCCAAATAACGTTACAGTTCATAACTACTTACACTTGTATGTTGAGATATCCTTTACTTTTTATTGCTGTGAAAATACTTAATCTCCCACCTCGAGATTTCTTGACTGCTAGTATAGTGTGTGTAAGTGTATTTACAAATGCAGATGCAGTTGCAACTACCCTGTATTCTTGAAATAATTTGATCATCAAAAATACGCTCTAAAAATTCTTGTAAATCAACTTCTTTACGCATAGGATCAATTATTATAGTTAAACCTAATAAATGAGGCAAAGGATGAAAATATTTATCAAATTTTTCTTTCATTGAAGTAATAATGGTTACATAAAGTTCATTACCCATATATTTTATAAAACTTTAATTATTTCTGCTAGCATATGAAAAACAAATAGTGAAGTAGGAATATATATATATATATATAAGAAAATAATTTTGTTGAAATATCGAAAACTTTTAAAAAAATCTTTATATAAGGCTACTTGGCGCCAATTAAGTTCAGTGGGTGTCAGTACTCCTCCTATTGATGTTGTTGCAAAAAATAAATCTATTACTATTCTTTGTTTACAAACTATTTTTAACACATTATATGTTGAATTCCACCTACTATCTACATCTAAAATTAATTTTTTAAATGACATATTTTCTCATTGACAAATTTTTTTATATTCTGAAATTCGATTACCACAAGACATAATAGTAACAATTGCATTTTTTATTACAAGTACAGAAGTTTCATATACATGCATAGCTTCTTTAACAATCAAATTTAAAATATGGACACAACAACAAACATGAAATAAATCACCATCAACAAGTAATTGTAAAGTTGATTTTAAATGGGTTACAGTTGGATTATAATATGATGCATTATCTAAACTAATCGTAAATATTTTATTTTGTAAAACCCACTCATATAATACAATTCTTATTTCTACACGAAGCGAATGACCAGTGTATGGAAGTTCAATTAATTTAAATGAAATAATTCTTTTATTTAATTTCCAATCATTATCAATAAAATGTGCAGTGATACATTAATATTCAAAACCATTATTTGACCACAAATCAGATGTTAAACAAACTATTCCATTCAAATTTTTAAATATATCAAATAATTCACTTTTAATATCCTCGAAATTCTTTAAAATCCTGTTTCTAGTAGTATTTCTTAAAAAACTTTGATATTACGGTGCAAAACTTTCGTAAATCATTTCGGTAAAATTAGGACATTCACTAGTACTAAAAGGTTGTTCTTTTTTAATAATATAATCAATTACAGAATTTTATGCACATATAAGATCATATGAAAATATTTGCAAATTACCAGTTGATGAAGCCCCTAATTACATTTGATTTCGAATATCAGGCTGTTTACTTTGTAAATGTTTGTTAGAATGCCTTTTTAAATGACTAGTACCCCCTGCAAATGTATCACTAAGTAAACGTGCACAATATTTACATTTTACTTTAAATGTAATTGTGCCATTAGGATTATTTATAGATATTTTTTCAAAATGTTCTCAAACACTACTACTTCTTCTCCTAGATGATGATGCAACTGTTGAAAGAGAGATATTAGAGGGAGAATCAACAGATTCATGTGGTGTAGTATATGTATCAACATCGACATAAGCATTAGGCATATTAGGATCCATAGTAATGCAAGTAAAACAATATATAAGAATTAACAATTAATTTAAATAATGTGTAAATTCAATCAGTAAAAAATAATAATTAATATATGTGTATAAATAATTAATGAAAAAAATGAGTAGTTAATAAATTTAATTAAACTAATTAATGTTATCGACTGGCGAATGCGTTATAGAAATTTTCTTCTTCTGCTAAAAGTTTCTTGTTATACAATTGCAATGACCACTTAGGGATGACACTTCAAAATTAATTGAGAGTTGAGAGAGATTGAGAGAGTTGAAGAGAGAGAGAGAGAGAGAGAATGATTTGTTGTGAAATATATTTTGAAAACTAAAATATATTTATACTAGTTTAAATTCTAACCGTTTGAATTATTATGACCATTTTATATATATCCGTTTGAGTTGTAGAGGAGATGTAAATTTGCAATGCAACGGCTCAAAATTGAGGCTAGGCTAAGAAATGGTTGTCTCCTTTTCGGGCAACCATTTGGACGGTGCTCTTTGGCCAACGGGAGCCATCACATGTCCCGTTTTGCTAATCGGAACCGTTCAATGTGTACAACTCGTCGAGTATTATATATTTGTAAAAAATCACATTGATCGGATATCTATAACTATCTGATCGGATTAATTTTTTTTGTCAACCATTAACTATAACACCATGCATTTTTATACCAAATTGATTTGATCATATAGTTAGCGATATTCGATTAACGTGATTTTTTAAAGACATAAAATAATGTAAGAGTTCTACACATTGAACAGTTCGGATTATCAAAATGAGACTCGTGATGAGCCCCCACAAGCCTAGTATTACCTTCCAACTTAGTATATGAGAAGAACATTTTTAACTTGACTTTTTGATTTTTTGATTATTTTAGTCTAATTAAAAAAGGTTCAATTTGGATTAAACTTTTAATTTTTTTTATAATTTTATGAAAAAAATATAAAATAATTATAATTTAAATATAACATTTTTTATTAACTTTTTAATTTATTTTATCTTTTAAAAAATTAAATTTATCTCAACCATCAGCCAAACAAAACCTGAGTTATTACTGATTTTAAAGAGGGGATTCCGTGCAAGGAAACCAGAAAGGTCCTATCGATTCCGTTATGTGGACCAACGAAAACAAAGATCTCATAATAAATAAATAAATAAATAAAATAAATTTAAGCTACTTGGTCAAACTAGAGTGAGAGAGACAGGGAGAGAGAGCGCTAGTTAAGACCTTCACCGGTGCAGCCATTACTGCTTTACAAGCCCAAGTCTCATGGAAAGGGAGAGAGAAAGAGAGAGAGAGAGAGAGAGAGAGAAACGTCGGCGTTGAACATGTCTTTGCTTTCTTAGTATGTGGAACATGTCATTGATCTTCTTTACTTTGCTTTTACTTAATCCATATTTAAGAACCCATCTCTCTCTCTCTCTCCCTCCTTCAGTGGTTCTCAATAATCTCTCTCTTGAAAAAGTCTTTAAAGTATGGCCGCCGAAGGTGGTGGTGGAGGAGGAGGAGAAGGGGTGAGTACCCCTCGGACTCTTCAAGTAACACCCACTTGGGCTGTAGCAACTGTTATCTTCATATTCATCTTCGTTGGCATTTTCATTGAATACTTGATCCATCTCCTAGGCCATGTAAGTAACAACCAGTTTATTAAAAACTTAGGACAAATTATATCAGTAGTCCTTGTATTATTTTTTTTTTTGTTCTTGTATTGTTTTAATTCTTATAATTTCAATTGGTTCGATTTTGATAAATTTTAGATTTTATCAATTTAGTTCAATTGATAACACCTGTTAAGATTTTTGACAAAAAATTATTACTCAGTTAATTGATGTTATTAACTTACTTTATGTTTTGATGGTGTTTTTTTTTTTTTGGGGGGGGGGGGTTTCGAATGTGTTATTGAATATAGGCTAATTTGTGCTTTGTAATTTGATGTAGTGGCTAAAGAAACATAGAAAGAATGGAGTGTCTGAGGCAGTAGAGAAGCTAAAGTCAGGTTTGTTTCAATAATTTTTTGCCTAACTTCTTGTGAAGGTGTGTTTGGATTCAACTTCATGGAAGAGTTGCTTCCACTTCTAATCCTTATAACAATTAATCAACTTAAGTTAATCTTGAATGCTTCCCTCATGTTGCATCCAAACGTAACCTTATAATTGTGCTCCCTCTTTTACTTATTTGTTTTTGTTATTGGAAACATTATATCCCAAAAAAGCAGATATATAAACCAAAAAAATATACATAATGGTGTGATTGCATTAGAATTGACCATTTTAAAACAAAGTTTCTATTAAAATAACATTTAATTACAAAATAATACTCCCACATCCTTATGACAAATTTCCTATAAAATTCTATATAAATTGCATTTTCTAAAAAAAAGAGAAGTGTAATGATTTACAAATACAAAAATATATAAGAAATTTGTCATCAAAAAGATTCTCAAAATTTTAAACATATGGTATAAATTTAAAGTATAGATGCGTCACACATGAGGAATCTAATTCTCACATTTTAAATTCTAGACTTTCTTTCTAGATATGTAGCATTTTAAACCCGTTATTCATATTTGATTATTTTTTTTTTGGTAAATTGAATAGAGTTTGTGGTTGGGTGCAGTGTTGATGCAGATGGGGTTCATGTCACTAACACTAGCAATAACTCGAAGGGGTATTGCCAAAATCTGCATACCAAACAGTGTTGCTGATTACATGCTTCCATGTCCAAAATCCATCCCTGAACAAAAAACAACCAATGCACTCGGCTTCTCATATGATCATCCTCCTATTTGGGCACCAAACACATTTCAACATTTGGAGAGAAAATTGGAATCCCATTCTCCTTCTCCTATCTTAGATCATTGTGGTTCTAAAGTAATTGTACTAATTTTTTTACATTAATTTGATTGTTGTCGAAAAGTTGATGTTTTGGTCGATCAATGCGTCCGAGTAACAGTTTCTCAATTTACACACAAATCAATTACACTGATTTTGTAACCGATTTTTGTGTTCTTATACTTTTTCTCCGTATAATGATTTTTTTTATTTTTTTTGGGCAGGGAATGACACCTCTCATATCGGCTCCAGGGACAGTTCAGCTGAGTACCTTCATCTTTGTATTAGCAGTAATGCAGATTGTGTACAGTATTGCCACAATGGCTTTAGGAAGGGCCAAGGTACAAATTCCATTATCTAGTAGATGCATTCTAATCTTTTGACTCAAATTTATATCAAATTTAAATTTAAATAAAAATCACTCAATACACATTCTAATTCATGATTCAAACTGAAATTCAAATTGAGTTTTACTTAAATTTTTTCCCAAATTAAGAGCGATTCAGATATTTACTCAAAATTTATCACTCTACCTCTACCACTAATGAAGTTTTAGTCAAATTTATAGTTAAACATGAGTTTGTTCAATATGGAGTGATTCACTTAAATAAAACTTTTACTCATATTGTTTGTAAGATCTAGACATGACCTTATGAAAATCTTGTAATTTTTTTTTATCCGTGTATTTTCTTTAATGTAAATATTAAAAATCTCGTTTGAGCTTGGCTTGTTTATTAATGAACGAGGTCGAGCTCGACTTTTAAACTCGTTTATTAATTGAGCCGAGTTCAAGTAATCCTAAGTTTGGCTCGATAAGGCTTGTAAATATAAAAAAAAAATAAATTAATATTTACTTTTAATAATATATCAAATAATTTTTTTTATAATTTATTCTATTTTCTATTTGTGTAGATTTACATATTTGATTGATGAAATTTATTATTATTTTCATAAGCATTCTTGTATATTTTATTCATAATTTTCTATTTTTTTATCTAAGTAAATTAATTTAATTTAATTTTTTTTCCAAGCGCTCCAGCTCAATTATTTAAACTCGACTTGAACTCAGCTAAAGCTCAAACTCAACTGATTCTTAATAAACAAATTTAAACACTCAAAGTTTGACTCAACCCATTTGCCACTCCAAGGCTTCGTTTGGGAAGCCAAGTTTGGGGTTTTTTTTGACTATTTTAATTACAAAAATAAAATAAATTTTTTAATCCAACAAGATAAAACATCACATCTAATCTATAATCATTAAATTCTTTTTCTCACAAAAAAACAAAAAAAACAAAAAATCAAAAACTCAAGACTTTTTAACCCCAAACTAAAATAACTAAAAAAGCCAAAAAAACAACCCACTTTTCAAACCAACCCAAAGTTGCAATGTTACAAATGCATGTGACTAAAAAAATATGCAACCATCCATTTGTGTGGATTTCATTGAGCGCCCACTATGCTGTCGGCAGATTCTCTTCATTGCATTATACAAATTTTTAATAAATTATAAATACATTGTTTAAAATTTACTTGAAATATAAATTATTCTTAATAATTTTAGAAATTACATTTCATTCTTTCAAATTTTTGGTAGTATAATAAATAATTTTTTTATTAATAAATTTTAAAATCAATTATAATTTTTAATAATAACATAAATATATTTTAATTAATAATTCTAGTAATTTTATAAAAAAATAGTTAAGAATTTAATTTTATTTGTCCATTTTATTAAATAAAAAAATCTAACAAGAATACTTATAATTTTCGTAATTGAACCATTTGTATTTTAAATAATTCTGTGTATTGATAATTTATTTTAAATTTTTGTGGCAAAGACCACTTGGATTGGAAAGTCAAAAGCCCAATTATGGTCCTTTTGGACTTTTACTTTTGCAAAGACTGATCTTTTTAGCTATATCTTTTTAGTTGCCACTCATGACTCAACTACATTTTTTTTTTACGCTAATATTAATTTAGATTTTTTTCTTTTTTTTCTGCTTCAATTTTTAAAAAATAAATAACTTTATTTTCTTAATTGTTTGTAGATGAGGCGTTGGAAAGCTTGGGAAAAAGAAACCCAAACAGTGGAATACATGGCAGCTAATGGTATAATTTTTATAACTACCTCTCCATTTTTCACACTTTTAAATTATAAATAAAATATAATTACATTTTACATATATTTTTCACACTTTTTCTTTTTGTCTTTTCAAATACTTATCTAAATCAATGATTCAAAAACAGACTTAAAGTATCGTTTAACTAGTGCTAATTATGATTTCTTTAATTTTTGTTTATGGATTGAGCTTTTCTCATATTAAAGTCACAACGTGAGGGAAATTGAGAGGCTTATAGGGCCCATTATGAGTATCGTTTCGATAATCTAAACCGTTCATTTTGTAGGACCCTCAATGTATAATATCCATAAAAAAATTTAGGTTAATCCGATAATTGTAATTTTTTCATTTTATAACATTTGTCTATAAGAAAATTGATGGTCTATTTTAAAAATATATATGTCATCTATTTTTACAAAGACAAATGCAATAAGATAAAATAAAAAATTACGATTATTGGATCGAATTAATTTTTTTCATGGATATTACAGATTAAAAGCTCTACAAATGAATAGTTCAGATTATCGAAACAAGACTTGTGGTAGGCTCTAGAAGCCCCTCAAGTTCAACCCAATTTTGAATATAGAAAAATTCATTATACGCCAATTTTCTTATAATTATACATTGAATCAGATCCAAATCGGTTTAGATTTACAAGACAAACAACATTTGGGCGACGACATATGACCGATTGTACAACACCAATTCTACTGTGGATTGTGAGTTCATAATCTTGTTATTTTACCAGCAAAAATACTCCTTTTTTTTCTTTTTCTTTTTTTGTGTTTTCATTTATGTTTAATTTTTTCAGAGAAGTATAATTTCCTCATTATGTGTGTTTTTATTTATTTAATATGAATATTCTTGAACTTGAGCAGAAAAGTTTCATCAGGCAATTTTTCAATTCAGTAGCAAAGGTTGATTATCTCACTCTCCGACATGGTTTCATTGCGGTTGGTATCCTATCCCTAGCCTTTCATCTTTGCTTTCTTTTATCTCCAAATTCAATACCATTTTATTGTGATTTCTGTAATTTTTTTCAATTTCTTTTTGATCTCTCTAATTTTGCACATCACATTTTTGCATTTAATATTCTAACAATAAATATCAGAGAGACTGTATTGTAACAAAACTGAAAAGGTAATATTCAAATAGAATTAAATTGAAATTTTGTTCAAATTGGAGGACCAACGATGTAACAGTAATGCCAAAGACCTCAAAAGTTTTATCAAAATTTCTACCAAAATGAGACATTCGGTAGAACTTTTGAAATCTCTAACACTTTTGATGATGTTACTTACTATTATCAAAACTTCCCTAGTTTAAAGTTTCTAAAAAATTGTAGTTACCTCTTTCATTGGTGCTAAAAACAATATGGCCATGTTTGTTTGGGCGGACTGGATTAGCATTTCCATGACTAATAGTCCTAGGATTACGAATCCGTTGGATTATTATCCTATCTTAACTAATAGTCAAGTTTAAAATAATTAGTCCGTACTTTAATTGTTTAATCAAACATCGGATTAATAATTTTATTAGACTATTAGTCCAATCCCAAGCTCATGTCCACCCAAACAAACATGGCCTATATGTATTTGTATTGTAACATGATTAATTACAAAATTTTTTGTAGGCTCATTTGTCAACAAACAACACTTTCAATTTCCAAAAATACATACAACGATCATTGGAAGAGGATTTCAAAGTTGTTGTAGGCATCAGGTAAACAAATTTTATTATTTTTGTGTTTTGCAATTCACTATATAGTATGGTTTTGTTTCAAAATCTATTTTTTAAAAATTAGTTTTATGGAAATAAATACCAAATAACAGATGAGTATTTTTTGCACAAAAGATGAGTTTTTTTTTTAATTTTTATTATTATTTGCTTACTTTATTTGCTTTTAGTATTTAGAAAAGAAAAAAAAAATCAAAATGAAATCAAATAGGATTCTCTCTATCACGAGCTGAGGTTTTTTTTTTTTTTTCCTCACAAATGAATTTTTAAACCTTTAAATATTTCTTTGTTGAAATTTTTATGCTAACTAAATCACTTTTTGCATTACTTTGGCAGTCCTTTCATGTGGCTTCTGGTTGTAATCCTCATACTAGTCGACGTGCATGGTGAGTTTATATAAATTACTCATATATATATACTATACACACATAAATATAGAGTAATTTTTAGGGTGTTTGGAAAGTTGGCCCAAAAAAATTTACTAAAAAATTAATCATATTAGCGTGAGAACCTTGCTTATTTAAACAATAATGATGATTATTTTTCAAAAAATAGGAATAAGATTTTAGGTAGGGTTAGTGGCTAACCTGAAATTGTGAAAAGGGGGCTAAATTAAAATTATTTAAATTTCAAAGGAATTAAAGTGCAATTATGTAGAATTTGCTAAACAAACTACTTATTTATTTTTATAAATACTCAAAAAGAATAAAAATTTTCAAAATTGGGGAGTCAAGAAAAAATTATTTAATTTTGGAGGGACTTGAGTAAAATTATATAAATTACATAATAAAATTGAGATTTTTTCCAGATTGTTTTTTTTACTTTCTCATTTTTATTTGCATTATTAATTCATTGAAATTGTATGAATTGAAACAGGTTGGCAAGTATACCTTTGGGTATCCTTTCTCCCACTCATTGTAAGTATAAAAAATTCAAACTTTTAGGTTTCCACTTTATGAGTTTACAAGAGAAATTAATTACATTAAGACTCCTCAATTAGTAATAAATATCACTTTAGTTCCCTTATTTATAAACAAATATATTTTGACTCTCGCGAAAATGTATTACCCACCCCTGCAGATCACCTCTAAAAATGGTGTATTTGTACGAGTTTATAATTGAAGAGATCTAGGTGTAATTAACTCTTCATAAGGGTTTCAATATTTTACATAATTATTGTTATTATTATTGTTGTTGTTTTAAATATTGGATTGTGTATGTTTGTAGATAGTGCTATTTGTTGGAACAAAATTAGAAGTAATAGTGGCAAAAATGGCACTTCAACTGCAAAATCAAAACAATGTGATAAAAGGAGCCCCATTGGTGCAACCCAGTGACAATCTCTTCTGGTTTGGTCGCCCTGAATTCGTCTTGACCCTTCTTCATTACACTCTCTTTGTGGTAATTCTTTCATAACTACCAATTGGTCCTCATTTATATGGTGAATTACACAAATAGTCCCTAAAACATACCGGGATTTCTTTTTCGGCAAAGGTTTAGGATCCTTTGTGTAATTTATCCTTATTGATACAGAAGTAAATTGAATTAAACAACTATTCTTCTTTCCATAATTGACAATAAACTAATTTCCTTTTGATTTTATTACAGAATGCATTTGAATTTGCCTTCTTCGTTTGGGTCACGGTATGAATTTAGAATTATTAGTATTTTCTTTCTTCTATGAGATTGAGATCTTTTATCTGCTTGAGAATGTAGTAATAAACCTATTAAAATATATATTATCTTAATTTTATTTGTTTGATTATTTTTCAGTTAGAATTTGGGTTCTATTCTTGTTACCATGAACGAGTAAAGATCATCAGTGTCAGGGCGGTATTAGCGTAAGTGCCAAACACACATTCTATTCTCTCTCACACACTACTTTGCTTTTTCTTTTATCTTTTATTTATTTATTTATTTATTTATTTTCTCAACATTCAAGCTAAAAAGAAAGTTGAAGTGTTTCTTTCTTTCGATATATCTTGCCCTCATCATGATAATACACTACACGTCTATGAGCACACAAACATATCACACAGAATAAATAAAGAACAAATCTAGAATTAATATAGTGTGGACAAAAATAAAAAAATTTACGGAAAAAATTGTGAAATTTTTATATAGAATGTTCATACAGAATGGTGTGATTTCTTCACATTTTATTTTCAACGAAATCACCCATTTTTATCGTCATAATTTTAAAAATATTGTTGACACATTACTCTACATGTGTTTTCTATATGAACTAATTTAGAGAACCAGATTAATCCATCCAGAAAATTTGGGTGGGTGATTGTGTGGTAGAAATTAATTTAGATAGTGTGAATTCTATATGAGGTTCATGTATAGAATAAATATGAATCATAGGATGAAAATTCTGAATAATTTTTGAGTTGATAAGGGTGAGTCTGTAATATTACTATTTCTATATAACATTTTTGTTAGTAAATCATTTTCATTTTTAATTGATTTGTCTGCTTGCATCTTTAAATGATGTTTGTAGGGTGATGGTTCAAATCCTTTGCAGTTACATTACTCTCCCCCTCTATGCTCTTGTCACCCAGGTTTTCACCTCTCTCTCTCTCTCTCTCTCTCTCCATATATATACATAGCCTGTGGAGCATGTATCAAACTTGGTGTATTTTGTGTACATAGATGGGAACACATTTTAAGAGTGTGGTGCTAGAAGAACAAACAGTGCATGTCATAAGGCAATGGCATGAAGGAGTAAGAGACAAGAGAAAAAAAAGATCATCACCATTTTCACAATCTCCTCTCCGAGATCGAGATGACTCACCTAGTGTGTGGAGCAACAACAGAACCAACTCACCAGATCTCTCCTCTCATCACCGGATACCATCTCTAGCTGAATTCTCTTCTCGTCAACCCCATTCTGAGATTATTGAAATTCCTGATCAAGAAATCAGTCCACATGAGCCAAGCTCGTCTACGCTCTCAAAATAACAATATCGACATACGTATAATATCAAAATTCAAAATTATGCATGACTAATATTTAAAATTGAGAGATAAACAATGCTACAACTTCTTGAAAATGTACTAAAGAAAGAGGATGTATGGAAGTTGAGGCAAAGAGATGTGCATTTGCATGGCATTAATGGCCAATTGTTTTGTTTGTATGCTTGTAATTTGAATAGTTGTTATATATCATTGTACATCTTTGGATATTTTTTTATTGATCATACTGGAGCATTCAAATTTATGATTTTTTGGGGGGGTTCATTTCCACTAACATTCTTTTATAAATTGAGATATCATATGCTTATTAGGGTGATCACAGATTGGGTTGAGTTGGGGCTTTTGGATCTGCATGCTTTGTTCTCCTCAAACATTATGAACACACCAAATTTGAACTTCGTTCTCATCTTTGTTGCTTTCTTGGGTATGGAATTGAACATAACGGCTATCGTTGTTTGGATCCTATCTCTAAACGTCTTCGTATCTCTTGTCATGTAGTTTTCTAGGAGCATAATACATTTTCATCCTTATTCTCGTTCCACTCATCATAATCTTCTACTTCCATTTTGTTTACTAATCCTTCTATCGATCTCTTTTCTAATGCCTTTGATGCAGGTTCTTCCTCTCTAGAGACGCCTTTGCCTACACCTGATCCTATCCCGACTTCTCTCTCTGATGGCCCCGTTGAGTCTTCTATCACCCTACCAGATCCTCTTCCCACCGGTCGTCCACATCGGGTAACTGAACTACCTGTTCATCTTCGTGATTATATTGTCGGGTCTACTGCATTTTCTACTTATGAACCTGCCTCCTATCGTGAGGCTTGTACTAATCCTCTTTAGCAGTAAGCTATGACTGATGAATTGCAGGCTTTAGACAAAACTCATACCTGGGATGTTATTGATCTTCCTCCTGGAAAGACTGCAATTGGCTAATAATGAGTCTTCAAAATTAAGACTCATTCTGATGACTCTGTTGAGCGCTACAAAGCTTGTCTTGTTGCAAAGGGCTTTACCCAGGAATATGACATTGATTATAAGGAGACTTTCGCTCTAGTTGCTTGGCTTACCTCTGTGCGTAGCTTACTTGTGTTGCCGCTGCTCACCACTGGGATCTCTTTCAGATGGATGTCAAAAATATCTGCCTCAATGGTGATCTTCTCGAGGAAGTCTACATACAACCTCCCCCTAGGTCTGCTTATCAGTTCATAAGGTTTACAAATTACAGCGTGCTCTCTATGGTCTCAAGCAAGCCCCATGCGCTTGGTTTACTAAATTCAGTTCCACCATCTATGATTTCAGCTTCACTTCCAGCTCATATGACTCTGCTCTATTTGTTCGAACCACTCCTAATGGCACCACTCTTCTTCTTCTTTACGTGGATGATATGATTATCATCGGTGATGATGTGGCTGGTATTCTTAGCCTCAAACAATTTTTCAATCGTCAGTTTGAGATGAAGGACCTTGGAAGTCTCAATTATTTCTTAAGGCTTGAAATCTCTCATGATTCCACTAGTTATTATTTATCCCAAGCCAAATATGCATCCAATCTTCTAGCACGTGCTGGTCTTACTGATTGCAAGACTACCTCTATTCCCATTGATCCTCAGACTCGTCTCACTCCTTTAGACGGGGATCTTCTCTCTAATGCTACTCTTTATCGCCAGCTGGTAGGTAATCTTGTCTATCTCACTGTGACTCATCCTGACGTTGCCTATGATGTCCATCTTGTTAGTCAGTACATGTCGGCTCCCGCACCCCACATTATACTGCTCTACTTTGCATACTTCGTTACCTCAAAGGCACATGTTCCATGGACTCCACCACTCTACTCACTCTTCTCTCAAGCTTCGTGTTTTTTCTGATACTGATTGGGTTGGGGATCCTACTAATCGACGCTCCACCACGGGTTTCTGTTTCTTCTTAGGGGATTCTCTTCTTACTTGGTGTAGCAAGAAACAGTCTCTCACTGCTCACTCTAGTACTGAAGCTGAATACCGTGCACTTGCTGACACTACTCAGGCTTTTGTGGCTTCACTGGCTCCTTGCTGATATGGGTGTTTCTTCCCCTGGTGCTATCTCTCTCTATTGTGACAATCAAAGTGCCATTCAGATTGCTTACAATGATGTCTTCCATGATTGCACCAAACATATTGAGATTGATTGTCATTTCATTCAACAGCATGTTACATATGGCACTGTTCATCTTCTCCCTATTTCTTCTACTGATCAACCTGCTGATATTTTCACCAAGGCTCATCTTTCTGGTCATTTCAGTGATCTAGTTTCCAAACTTAAGTTGAATGATGCTTACCCACCTTGAGTTTGAAGGGGGTTGTTAATGTATATATTAGCTTTATATATATCTATATTGTAGATATATCTTTGTATCTCTATCTCTCTCTATTACTATCTCTATCTCTTTGTATCTCTATCTCTCTCTCTATCTCTATCTCTATCTCTATTTCCTTCTATACTTATCTAGGTTTTTCAGCCTATATATATATAGGCATCTCCTATTGTATATTATTCAATTCAATATAATACATATACACAATTCCCATATTTCTTTCAACCATTCTAACACCGAAGATTTGTGTATGGAGGACTAGTGCTATGTAAACGTGCATAAGGAGTTTGGTTATGGATAGTAGAGGTAGGAACACAATTGATAGTGTAGACAACAGTACAAGCAGCTTCTCCCAAAAAATATTCATGACACGAGGAAGAAATAAGAAGGGTGCGAGTAGTGTCAAAGATATGCCTATGTTTCCGTTTAGCACGGCCATTTTGTTGGGACGTGCCAACACAGGAACAATGAGGCTGAGTACCGTGATTCTGAAGGAATGAGAAAAAATCAAGATCCTTATATTCCATAGCATTATTAGATTGAAAAATTTTAATGGTTTTAGAAAATTGGGTTTGAACCATGCTTGTAAAATTGTAATAAAGTTGTTTGAGTTCTGATTGACTTTTCATGAGAAATAACCATGTAAAACGTGAAAAATCATGAACAAAGATAATAAAGTAACGTGATCCCCCCATAGTGGTAGCAGGTAATGGTCCCCAAATATAAGAATGTATAAGATCAAATGGTGCATGAGAAACAGAAGTACTTACATTAAATGATAAAGCGTGTTGTTTTGCAAGTTGACAAGATAAACAATCCAAAGTATCAGGAATGACATAACCCAACTGACTAGTAGAAACTAAAGATTTTAATCGACTAATAGAAATACGTCCTAAACGACAATGCTAAATGTTAAAAGGAGACATGTTGGAAGCAAATGTCGGAGCAGCTATCGGGTAGAGTTTGGAACATGAAGATGAATGAGCTCAGAGAGACATCCATACTTACAGCTGATCCCAAGAGTCTGTCCCGACTGAGGGTACTGTACCAAACAACCATTAGTAGAAAATGTGACAGTTAGACCAAGCTCACATAATTAACTAATAGAGATAAGATTTAAAGTAAGAGCAGGAACAAGATAAACATTTGATAAGGATAGATGAGAGGTAGAAACAGAACCAATATGACTTACAGACTTGAGAGAACCATCAGTAGTATGAATGGAGGAAATATGAGGAGATGAAGAAATATAAGAACATAGAGTAGAACTAGAAGTCACATGATTGCAACATGCTAAGTCAAAATACCAGGGAGATGTACCTGAAGTCACAGATAAAGTAGTAAAATGAGGTATACCAGAGGTGGTGAGAAACTATTTGAACATGGCTTCAACATCAGTTTGGGAAAAGACAGGAGTGGTTGGATCTAAAGGCTCAGAAAATTCCTCAGAGGCAACAGTAGCAGTGCGATGAATAGGCAGAGATCTAGACTAATTCCCGAGACGTTATGAACGACCTCGTGAAGAAGCACCACGAGTAGTAGATGAGCGGTCTGGATTGTGAAAACAATCTTGCTGCAGATGACTAGGACTAATCTTGTTACAGTACCAACAGGATCTGACTGGGCAGTGAAACAGAAGATGAGTAGAAGGAAGGCCCCGATTTTGACAATAATTGCAAGTAGTGGGCCGTTGGGTGGTTGGTGTAGAGGAACTCAATGATTGGGGAGTAGCAAGAACTGTATCCACATGATGAGTCTTTAAAGGGCCAAGACGAGTCTCCTCAGATAATAACTCAAAAATAGCCTACTCAAGAGTGGGCAATGGAGTGCGATGAAGCAGAGATGCATGCACGGGTTCAAACTAGGTAGTGAGAGCCATGAGAAACTGAACCAATCGTTGGTGATTACGATACTGAGTGAATAAAGTAGCATCTTCAATATGAGGCCAGGAAGGTTTAGAAAGAGCGAGCTGGTCCCAGACAAAATATTCTGAGAGAGTAAATCATTAACAGACTAACCAAGCTCTTGACGCAGACGATGAAGTTGACTTTAAAGTTGATACTGATAAGCAAGACCAGTAGTCTGATAACGTTCTGTTAAAAAAATCCCAAAATTCTTTAGTAGGAGTAGTCACGGAGTCAAGTTGAAAACGACCAAATTGTAAACAGATAGAAGTAACAAAAGTATTCCGAAGCCAAGTGATGATCTGGTAATTCTTACTGTCCCAGTCCTCTAAACAGTCTGCATATGTGGCAGCTGTTTCATGAACCTCTTTCACTGGTTGAATCACATCTCCAGTGATACTGCATCAGAGTTTCTTCCCTTTCAGAAAACCGGACATGGCTTGGGCCCATAACACATAGTTGGAGCCGTTAAGGATAACAAAGATTGGATGAGAAGCATCATGACGATCCATAACGGTGGTTTGGTGAAGTAAAAAAGAGAAAAACAGTGCTATAGGAAAAAAAATCAGCAAAACAGAGCATATTAGTGAGTTTAAAAGGTCGTAAATAGTTGGGAAATGGGTCTATTGTGCAGAGATGATGTCAACAAGGGCTGAATGACGTCAACAGGAGGTGTGGCGCACAATAACAATAGCAGAAAGGGTCTCGCAGTGTACAGTAGCAGATTGGCCCACGCGCGGCGCATAGCAACAGGAACAATGTACGCGGGCGTAGGGCTAACATCAGGTGCTGACGTGAGCAAGCAGCTAAAGGACGCGTGGGAGAGTAGCGGTGGAAGGCCGAGGCGCGCCAAGCACAAAAACGTCACGTGAGGGCGCGTAGAGAACTTTCTGGTGACGTGGTTGGTGCCGTTGGAATCGTGAAGAGATTCCGATCAATTTGGTGGTAGGGGAAAAAATTTTGGGTGAAAATAACAGTGAAGCAGTGCTGGAACAAAGATAATAAAGTGTATGGGTGATGGAATGAAGGCTGCAGTGCCACTGTGTACGAGACTAAGCAAGAGAAAAGAAAAGAAAAAAAAGGCTATAAGTGTAGAATCTAAAGCTCTGATACTATGTTAAAATGGTTGAAAGAAATATGAGAATTGTATATCTGTGTTATATTGAATTGAATAATATACTGTTACCCAAAAAATAACCTAAGAGGGGGGTGAATTAGGTTTCTACAAATTAAAATTAATAATATCCCAATAAAATTAACTACTAGTACAACAAATTATTAATAAGCACAATGATGAACTTAGCAGTAAATGATCAAGCAAAATAACAATGAAGTATAACTAACATACAAGGTAAATCAAATAATTAACACATGAATATTAGATAGCTATAGCAGTAGTAGGAAAATAAAGAGATTAGGAAAGAGGAGACAAACAGATTTATAATGGTTCGGCTTCAACCAAGCCTATATCCACTCCTCAAGATTCACTTGAGGTTTTTCACTGTCTTCTAGCTTCATAGGGGTGCTAGCAACCTCATAAACATGAAGCAATCCTCCATAGATTTTACACAAACTTCACAAGCCCAAACCCTTGCAAATCTTAGGTGATTCACAATCACTCTCAAGATTTCATGAACACAGTGTTTGCAACACTTTTACAATATGAAATGGTATTTTTGCTTTCAAAGAAACTTACAATAAATATCTCTCCCAGATGGATATACAAAATGAAGCTCTGATTTTTTTGTAAACCTCACACAGGAAAGATAGGCTTAAAACTATACATCTCAGTGTATAATTTCTAAAAGAGGATGTAAACAAAAATTGAAGAACACTTCTCAGAGAATTTTTCAGAGAATAGATATGAGTGATTATAGATCTGATTTTTTTTGTTTACATTAGAAGCTTTGATATATATAAAGAAACTTATAGCCGTTGTATTCATTTGAATTTATAACTGTTTATAGCCGTTGTACTCCATCGTTACTAATTTGAATATCTTCCACTTGAACCTTTTGGCCTGCTGCTGTGCTAGACTGTTCGAACCTTTTGGCCTGCTGCTATGCTGGGCTGTTTGAACCTCTGTTTTTGGCTATTTGAACTCCTGATTTCATCAAATATTAAATACATTCTAACAACATATAGGATAAAGGTTTAGGTGATAAATAATGAGACAAAATAAATTTTAATTCTATTTTTCTCTTTCAAATAAATTAAAACATAATTAAATAAATCATCAAAATAAATTTTGGATTCTATTTTTCTTTGTCAAATAAATTAAAATATAATTAAATAAATCATCAAAATAAATTTTGGATTCTATTTTTCTCTTTCAAATAAATTAAAATATAATTAAATAAATCATCAAAATAAATAAGTTTAACATATACAATAGGAAATGCCTATATATATATAGGCTGAAAAACCTAGATAAGTGTAGAAGGAGATAGAGATACAAAGAGATAGAGATAGAGAGAGATAGAGATACAAAGATATATCTACAATACAGATAGATATAAAGCTAATATATACATTAACAAGGTGACATCTTATCAAGTATCTGTCCAAAATTAGAAGGATTGAAAAAAATCAATCTGCATACGTCCACTGGTTTGGCGGATGCAGATTGAGTGAGCCGTGCAGGTTAGCAAATGGATGTGATCGATTTGACGATTTAGACTTTACAAATTTTAAACATTTTTTTGAATTATAATTCATCTTTTACAACATCCAATAACTAGTAATCTTGAAATATATGTATTATTTGTCTATAATAAGCCATGACACCGCGCATATATATTTTTAAGGTATAGTTTTTCATTTTTACAAAAATATATTTTTTATTCTTTCTATTCTATTTTGTTATTTGTTAGCAAATTTTTATTTATTTTTTAAACTTCATCTACGGACGGATCGGTTTAATGGTTGATCCGCTATCTAAATCGTATCCGTGATTTTTGAAATATTTCATTTGCATCTGTCCATCAAAAGAGACACATTTGTCCAAAATCGATCGAATTACATCTGTTCCAACGGGTTGGACGGGTTATGCATGCTTATAGAAAATTTATAGTGGATGTTTTGTCAAAGGTGAGTGTATTCTGTTTTGATAATTTTGGACTATTGTCATGTAAATGCTAAAGTTTAACAACCTAATGAGAAAAGGGATTAAATTATA